AATATGAAAGGGGGATGTCAGCTTGGTCAATGCATGTCATAATTGAGCATTAACACAGATTATAAATTATATCATGCGGCAAAATGAACTGATGCTTGAAGAGGATGCGAGCACGGATAAGCGAATGAACAGTCTGGTGTTAATTAATGTAAATCCGACTGAAGGACGAAATGTGAGCAAATATTGCATGAAGTACAATGTGGCATGGGAGGTGTCAAAATATGAAAGGGGGATGCCAGCTTAGTCAATGCATGTCATAATTGAGCATTAACACAGATTATAAATTATATTCATAATCATACTATTAAAAACAAGGGTTGTCTGCTACCAAACTCCAAATGATGACCTTTAAACAATGTTTTATCAGTACTGTCTATCTTAAAATACCAGTAATGGGCAGTATTTGCCAGTCCATATCATAATCTTAGACAAGCATTGCTATATTGATTAAGACTGAACAAACAAACAAATCATTTAATGAATGCAATTATAATCCCTACATTGTGACTACAGTGACAAAAAAAATAGTATTCCCTGGCGAGGTTGCAGATAAGGTAGTTTACACCCAGGTTGTTGACCATGTCAAGTCATGGTGCAAATCAAATTTGCAAGTTCTATCATCAGCATCTGCATGCTAGTGAATATCCTACCTTAGCAATATGATGTCTCATACACACCTCATACACAGCCTGTACTAATAGACAAAATACAGTGATTTGGGGAATAAAATAACTGAATGCAATGTGTTTACCATTACTGAAAACACCTTCCGTCTGAGAGAATGTCTTCTTCCTATCAGGATAGTCTTGTAAATACAACTCAACGTTGACCTGATCAGCATTGAAGACGGTGACAGACACAGTTTGTTCCACACCAACACGAAATATATTTGGTGCTGTGATGAAATATTTGGATCTGAAACCAATTATTTTAATACTGATTATTCTGAAAAATATACTAAGAAATTAATTTGAAATGCTCTAAATAATTTTCTATTTCTAAGAATTAATAAATATCTCTCAAAAAATTAATCAATAATGGTATTACAGTAAAATCATGGCGAGTTGTTGCCATGGTTTGTCTGTTTCCTACATTCTTGTTAGGGACGACATCAAAAGATCGATGTCGGATAAAAAACTTATTTCCTTTAGTTTGGGGGTGGGGGGTTTTGACCTCAAAAAGTTTCCATCCTACAAAAACAATTTTATTTTTTAATGAAGTCAAAAAAATCTTGGAGTATTTGGAGTTCTTTTTTTTTTCTATCCAATCATTGACAGAAATAACCGAAAAAGGAAAAAAACAGAAAAATGGTTTGGTTCGAGTGTAAATCTGTGCGTCAAATAAGGTGCATTTGTAAAATCTTTTTACACCCATCCGACAGCCAACTGCTATGCAATACTACTGTCCGATTATCAAATTGTATTTAATGGTGAATGTAGTCTGACGCCATGACCAATATTTATCAATTAAGTTTCAGTGGGGGGAAGGGGGGTTTGGAAAAAACTAAAGGAATTAAGTTTTTTATCCGACATCGATCTTTTGACGTCGTCCCTTAGGCCAAACAAAATAAATGATAAATGTTTCTGGTCAGTGCTTGCTTCAGTCCAAAAAGGGCTGCTCAAAAAGTTTTTTTTTCTGGTTTCTGTAAAAATAACTAAAAAATGAAAATAAAATCAAAGAAAGCTTAAAAAGAACTACTGTGTGCTGAGAGTATTGGAGTTCTGGTTAAAAATAAAGGAAAAAAGGTGTACATTAAAAGGACATTTTTTGATTGAATATTTACTTGTGCTGAGTTTCAAGATGAGCAGCTGCCATCCTATTGGCCAGAATTATGTTTGAAAGATGGAGGTGAAAATTTGTGGGAAGGTGAATTTTATTAGTTTGTGATACAGCTTGGAAAGTCTTGAATGCAGATAGTTGAAGTGAAAGAATTCATATGTGCAGATATTAAATGTAACAGCAACTGCATGCAGTAGATATTTCCTGTGTTGCATGAATATTAAATACGATACTTCCAAGAAGACCTATTTAATATCTTGGTTAAGAAGAAAACACAGTGGGAACAGGATTCTGCAGAATACAGTGCATCTAGTTTTCTGTGATCACATCTTTTTAAAAGTTGTAAGATAAAAATTATGGTGTAGTTCACTATTTATTAGGAGTATTTCTTTTAGTGTTTTTCAATAAACTTTACAAAACATGAAGTCACACCAATTACAAGTGATCAAAATCAATATATTATTGCTTTGTTACGTGCGCATTGCATGCATGGGGGTCATCAAAAGTTACATACACATTGCACAGGGTCATTCGGAATTCAAAAAGACGTGATTAATGCTTTCATTACGTTCCCAATGTAATATAATAGAAACATGAATAGGTGTGACTATCAATGTTTCCAATATATTAAAACATGCAACGCATGAATTCAAATGATCTTCTGTAATAGGTGTGAGTTTGACATTCTCTCCCATATTTCAGTTTATATGTATGTACTCTTGATATTAAAAAGTTTATTAAAAAAAAACTAATAAAAACTACAGTGCTGGAAATTTTCTAGTCAATAATGCACTATACCATGATTGCTAGAATCAAACACAGTTCTTGATTGTATTTGTCAGATGTCTTGCCATATGATAGTGTAACATTATTACCATTTTTAATGTGCACAGTGTTTATCATATGGACGTATAAAAAAAGTTTAAACTATTTTCCAGCTACTTCAATTAATTAATTATTATCAAATGAATTGCCATTTACATCATGTGTGTGAAACAGTCCGGGCCTGATTTAACATAATTTGAAACACTACATTTTTAACATCAGTTCTCAATGTTTTTCGATCTACCAAGTTCTGCAAACCCTGGATGTGATAGGCTAATATTTCATTACATCTGGCAGGGTGTAACTTAATCCACAAGTTCCTATTAAAGAAGATGACTACTTTTCCTGGTAAGCAACATTTTAGATAACTAGGATTCTTGAATTTCACCTAAAAAGAAAATGTTCACACAAAAACAATCTTCTCTCAACAATTAATGCAGGAAACTTCACATTTGAGTGAACAATAGATACAAAGTACAGGAAGTTCATGGAACATCCTGTTTTTAACTTTTTCATTCTCAGCTCAATGGAAAATAAGACAACAGTTTTTGATTGGTGAATAAAGAAAAAATGAGTTTTAAAATTGAATTTGTTTGATTTTTAGTGACTTGTAAAGTGGCAAAGAACAGCTGATCCATGGCTGATGCAAAGAAAAAAAAAGTGTTTTTAACATTGATTTAAAATAAAAACACACTCAGACATTTTCATCTTCCTGCACCTGCATTTCTATCTCCCTGGAAATAACTTAATTTAAAAAACAAATATTTGTTTCTTTTTCTCTTTTTCATTATTTTATTTAGTGTTTATCTTTTACATTTACAACTCAGGACATGCAAAATTCAAAAATTAACATTTGCATAAAGTGCAGAGTTTCAAATCCATAAGATAAACACTAAATAACCACTGCTAGGAGTCTGGGTACATAAGAGCATGGAGCTCTAGGATAACCTTGCTGAAGAAGAAAAACAAAATATTGACACAATTCTTTAAAAATAATTCCTGATAACCTTGGCCAGCTATTAATTGTAAATAGGTTCCACAATTGGTGCTGAACACATTCATTTTCACTCAAGAAAAACAGATATTTGCTTTTGATCAACTACATGTAGTTACAAAAGGCCCACATCACACTCTGGGGGTTAACATTTGGTAAAAACGACAAGAAACAATAACAATTTCGCAAAACAAAATCAGGTCAATGTTCTACTCTTTTTGGATATCTTAGGAACAAAAATAAATATTTGTTTGGTCTAAATAGAACAAGACACACATTTCAGTAGCATAGGGACAGAAATAAAATATTCATTTTACTAAGCACTTATCTCTATAGATTATCATTGAAATAAGACAGGTTTCTCCTAATTCAAAATAGACTAAAAAAAACTTACCCGTCCTGAGCAACTGACAAAGTTGCTGACACCAAAACACTTGCAAGTACCCAGACAAAAGTCATTTTGAAACAATCGACGAATACAGTTGTCTAGCCCAATGTCCAAACTCTAAATGACTTGCAGATAAGATAGTGTGGATTGTATATATACTGACCAGTGGATGACAACAATAAAAAACACGTTGACATACCATTATTAAAGTGGGGGTGTTAGATATAACGAAATAACGGTGACGGCAGTTTTTACTGTTAATAACATTTTTACAAAATTATATACCTACTCAATTATACTTTTATTACAGGATTTGGAAAATTTAAATGACTAAATAAATTATGTAACTAAAACGATTCAGTTCTACGGGGTCTCAGAAAGACGCGCATTCATACCTACGTCCATAATAGCTCAGCCTAAAGAGGTAAACATCAGTTTTCAACGTATTCTCTGAACCACTTCCTGGGGCCTCGATCAATATGGTATCAAATTTCCTTCCTTCTTTCCCAGAACTACAAACTGTGCACACAATTTTAACCGGGATTATCAGGCCACTTCCTCCATGTAAACTGTGGCGTGATAGTACAACGGTATTTGAGGTCAAAAAAGTTCCAAAAAAGCAACAGCTAAAGTCAGTGATACTTCGGCCGAGTATCGTATACGACGGCAATATTTTATACAAGGCTATGTAATAGCGAGACAACTATAGTACTTACTTAGTTTAATTACTTTTTCAGCTCTATGCTTATTTTAAACGAAGTCCATATTTTTTGTAGGGACTGTTGTTTATATACATTTGTACAACCAAGCTGAACGTAAACATGTTGCCAAACAACGATTGTCGTCTGCACGTCATCTTATCAACATCATAAACTGCTACATACTAGTATGCATTTGTGGCGTACTATTTTTGTCAGTGTACTAGTAATTTCATACACAACGAGCGAAAAGCTTGTCTGACAAGTAATTGCCGACGTAGCTTATAGTGTGGAAGTACACGTATGCCACGTTGGCTCTGGGTCCGCTCAAGAAGCCATTCTGGTCATGAGCCTCGACTTCGTCCGAAGTATGGAAAGCAAAAGAACACGTTAGTCGGCCAAGCCAGTATTGTAACCCTTGTAAATGTATTCACTAAGTCAACCGTGCTAAGAGTTAGACACACGTTTTTTAAATGTGCACTAGTGACTTTGATAGTCTTGATTTTTTTGTTTTTCTTCCCTGTCAAGGTTTGTTGTATTTTTTGATGAATATATATGTATTTCCCCAGTTGATTTTTTTCTTCAAAATTTTATCAGTACAGTTTTTGTTTTTTCAAAATCAACCACCCAGATACCCTAATGATCTAGTTCTTAATGTAAGAATGTAATATATGTCTTCACATACTTTTAGTCGACAATCTTTCACTGTGAAATGATGAAGACATGATCGTTCGGTCCCTTGGCGTATACCAGTGGCGGATCCAGAG